CAAAAGCCACTGTCTGATTGGTGGCATTCTCTGGGCTGCCAGTGCGTTCAAATGGCGGCCCTCGAGCGGCTGCTCGCCCTGGTGCCCTCTGCGGCACGGGCACCGTCTTTGTTCTCGATGGATTTTCTCCAGCTGTTCGCCATGCTCGCGGGAAAGACGCGTCCTATTGCCTGCACAAGAAAACGCCCTGCTGGGCCATCAGCAGAAGGACTGGCCAACACCCACGTGCAGCGGACAGAGTAGCCCGAGTGCGAGGCCTGCAGAATGGCCCTTGTGAGGCGGTTGGGGAGGCAAGCCGCGGAGCGCCTGACCCACACCGGATATCAGCAGATCGGCCATGGCGCTGTCGGTGGCAATGATGCCACAACGAGATGGGAGACCTCAGCTCGTCCGGTCTGGGAACGGCGGACACAATGCTGGCCAGCAGTACCAACTCCAAGTAGCACGTAACAATCCATGGGCACGCACTCCTGGCTAAGCTGGGTGCTCAGGGGCACAGAGAAGAGCATAGTCCGAGTACTGCGAGCATATGAGCTGAATACAAACTTTTTCACGCTCGACGGCATAAGTTGAGGTCCGGCTTTGGGTGAGTTTCACGCTGGCTGGCGCGCAAAGAGCCTGATGGCGTGCCACAGTCGAAGACGTGGGGGAGTGTGCTCTGTGCCACGCGTGTCCGGGTCGGCACTGGTTGATTTTAATTTCATCTTCATCGGCAAGGGAATTGCGCATAGCGCGAATGGCCTTCTTCCCTCATTGTTGCTCCTTGGGTGACATATCCTTCAGATCGATATCAGGGCGACGTGTACATCGCGACCCCGGTCAACCCCCCTATTAAGTATCCATTCCCTGCCCCATTCCTCCTCCCGGGTACCATAAGTGAGGGTGGACTGGGATCGTTGTTTGTATTCTGGTCCAATTTGAGGCTGTCCACCGATGCGGGTTGATCCTTAATCCTGCTTCAGCAGGTCGGAACCAAGAATATTTGGCTTTGGTTTTGATACAAAGAACTGATGGGCAGGGGTAAGTCTCCTGTTCCATATTCGGGCACGAAGGCGCTACCTCCTTCTTTGGGTTGCGAACAAATATGATGGGATCGCTTTTATTTGGATCTAGAACTGGGGACGGGATGCCTGGCTTGGAGCTGATATGGGAAGATGGTAGGCTGCAGCCATTCTGACGCTGTAGAAGAACCGCATTCTGTGTTATATCCGTGTCCGTTTTCACATCAGTGCTCGGGAGGGCTGGCCAGCCGAAAAACCGACTGGCTCACCATAGGATTTAACTCTTCACTGCAGCTGCTTGGCTGCGCCGCAAGTGGCTACATCTGCCCGGTGCCAAAATTTCGCCAGTCTGTGGCGGGGGGAGACAATCATGCTTGATGAAATGTCTCTTGGAAACCGATTTGTTTAGGCATCAAAAGCACTTCTATGGAGTAAACATGCTCATATCTCGGGCCAATGCTACAGGAGCAGAGGCTGGGACAGCCGACAAAATAATCGGATTCGGGACAGTAGCCGTAGCAGTATATGGCGATAGAGCCAGCCGGAGCTGGAGCCAGAGCTGGAGCGCTACAATAATAATTATATGGTAGTGTTTTGTTGCAGCGGCTCACTCCCATTATCAGTATTCCATCTGAATCGGTATTCAAGTGAATCAAATCCTTTGCGTAAAGGTACGCTCTTGTTGTTGAGGATGGTGTCAACTTGGAAATCGGTAGACATGTACAAGGTTTGCCCCTCAGATTTGAGGTGGCATGGGCCAGGGCCTGGGGTGCTTTCCCCAATGGCGTGTGCCAGTGACTGCTTCCTCTGTCATCCCACTTAGTGGCGACTGAGCGTTGGCCTCAGCCTTGTGTGGCAGGTTCCAGAAACGACGGGGATGATTCCTGTTGTGAATTGGTGTTCTGTGGCTCACTAGCAGAGGGAGGTAAGGCACCGATACCCAGATTCGTTGAGGGGTCCACCTGCTGCGAGGATTTGGATTACGGGTTCATGGTGTGAACCCTTGCCCTGCACAGAGGCCTTAAGCTCCAGTCTAGGCTGCTGCTGTGATGTTGTCTGTATTTGTGCGGGCACCCAGATTAGCCATTTGGCCACTGACTGGTGCATGCTAGGCTCTGTTTGGCCCCTGGAGCACGAGGGGCTGCCTGTTCCACTTTATTTAGTGTCAGTACCTGTGCAGAGAGTCCCAATAAGAGTTGCTGGTGGGTAGTGGCAGGTACAGATTCAGACTTTGATCGCTTATCGTTGTCTTGAGGTGTTGGGAGTTAACTGGTGGTACATTGCTGGTGTGACTGAATCCATTCGAGGGATTGTCCTGTAACGAGAACTTGTTCCAATCTAAGCCTCTCATATTCAAAGGCGCACATACTTATTAAAGGGAAGCAGCTGGAGTCGATGTATTTGGCTCCTCGTTGCCGCTGAAATAATCATTGAGTGGGACAGCAGCCGGAGCTGGTGCGTGCCCCGTAGGTGCTTTTTAAATGACATTGATGGAATTCGTAGAGCGGTAAAATGCCTGGTTGATTAGGTATTTGGTTTCCCTAACTTCAGGTTGTAGGTGTATGGCATAGGTTAAACCAGGCAAAAGATCGGGTCAGTTGATTGGGATATGTACATTGGCGAAATCGTGCTTAAGCCGAACTATGGTAGGCTGATGGAGACGGTTAACGGAGCGTGGCGTCTTAACGGTGAGCTGGGCAGAATGGCTACAGGCGAGAGGCTCTCGTGACTCTCAATCTCTGGGTTTACATATTGGCTGCGAACAGTTGGGGCACAATGGCGTTAAAGGATACAGGGGTACAGGACACCTTGATTATACCATGGCAGGAATGGGTCGGCACATGCTGGAATATACAGCACATACCATCTGCAGAGCTGGTCTGCAAGACGTTGGCGCATGCACCCGCTGCTGCAGTACCAAGTAGATTGAAGGCTACACGCGGAAGAAGAAATGAGAAAACAGCTGAAAGAGGGAGAGAGAGAGAGAGAGAGAGACAGCGTATCGACTGTCACCTGATTTCGTTACACCACGGTCTCAGTTGGCGTATAGGACAGAAAGGATGCTCGGATCAGGAACAGGCCGAGGGCGCAGCGAGTGCGCGGCCGGATTAACTGCAAGCTGGGATGCGAAGGGCAGCTTACTCATGCGCCACTGGGCGCGCTAATCGGCCAATGTTGGTGGCTTGAGGCCAGCTACCTTCAGTTGGTTCTGCACCAGGCTGACACCGATACTTGACGGCTGGGTCAAACTGCAGGGGTTTTCGACAAATCAGCGGCAACAGGGATGGTGCCTGCGCTCAACAGATCGTGAGACATAAGTCGAGGCGCAGCAGCAACGGCGTCAGCAGTTTTTCAGGTGTGCGCTGTACGTCTGGAAAGTCCTCTCACCTAACGTGGAATGGTTCCCTCGATTATTTTCAGCAAATGCGATTCGCGCAAAATTTTTCCATCAATCTTTTGTTCTTGGAATTTAACAGCGTGCAAAACAATATTGTACATGTTAGTCTTTGTCAATGGTTTTTGTGGCAACGGAATTAAATTCGCTATACTTACTGACTAAGGCGAAATGTTGTTTTTGCCAACGTTCAAATGATTCTCGTTGACTTCTGGCTCCGGGAAAATTGGATTCAGATTGAACATTTTCCAATACCGCCTATGATACTCACTTCCGCGGTTGCAATTGATGTGTGCCGATTATTTCTGAGCACAAAACGAATGCAACTAGCCCAATTTGCGGCGAATTTAAAGAATCTTTTGAAAGTCGGTGCACTTTTAGCGGGAGAGGAATGACAAGTGGGAGAATTTTAGTGGTGAGCTTACATAATATATCGATGGTACATTTAATTCGATACTTCGACTGTTTTATTCAGTAATATATCATGATATACGGCTCTAATATGTGTATATTTATATTTTAATAATATTTTTATAAAATCAGTATTTTTTCTATAAATTTGGTTTGTGTAAACAGCAACAAAGCAGAAATAAAAATTTGATTACGATGTCCCACTGGCGATATCCGCGTTATCGATACATCAATAAAGGCGCTAAAGCTGTGCACATGCAAACATACAACACACTGACAATGCTTGAGGTATGTTTATGTGCCGTGGCTGATATTTCCTTTGGAAAAAATAAATATGCAATTTCCATATTAAATTCTATTTATTAAAAATAGTTGAGTGCATATTTCAATCCCCTTATGCCACCATTTTGAATCAACATCAATGGGCTTCCTCTTTGCCTGCGGTTGTTGTTAAAAATAGACCAACTATTATTGTAATTTCAGTCGATTTTAGTCATTGTCATAATTCCAGTCCGTGGAAACGAGGGAGCTATGTCTTTTTATTCATGAACAGATGTGTACGAACATATTTAAAATTTATTGAGTATAAAAACTATTAAAAAAAAAAGGGATAGAATACTAAATTAGCTGTTTACACTGTTTATTGGTTGGATTTTTTCATGTTTATTTTCTTGTTGTAAATTTAGTGTAAAATTATTACACACGTTATTTTGTATAAAAAAAAACAGACACAGTAGCTTGTTTTTTGTGTGGTTGTTGTTGCTTGCTCTTCCTTAACGGCTTGGACTTGGCGACACGCTCCAGCTTATCCTTCTTCTTGATGGCGTACGAGTTGGAAGAACCCTGAAAAAGCAAACAAAACCAGATTAACTTTTGGACCAACGTATAAAGTGTACAAAAGCGCTAACATATACTGATGGTTATGGCTTAATGTTCATTTACGTTTCTCGTGCATTGGACGGGGTAAAATGTCAGAAGCACAAGGATAATAAAAGATGTGGGTTTTAGTTTTGTCCAAAAGCGAGACTACATAAATAAACCATGATGCAGAATTAGATTGGACGACTATACATTACATAATCATGGCAATATTTTCTTATTCCTATCGATATCATATTTTGTTGTTCTTTTACGTTTCTCGTGTGCATTGGACGGGGAAGAATGCTAGCAACACAAGGAATAAGAAAAGATGTGGGGTTTAGTTTTGTCTCGAAAGCGAGACTACATAAATAAACCATGATGCAGAATTAGATTGGACCGACTATACATTACATAATCATTGCAATATTTTCTTATTCTGATTGATATTGATATTTTTGCTTGTTCTTTTACGTTTCTCATGCATTGAACGGGGAAAAATGCCACAAGCACAAGGATAATAAAAGATGTGTGGATTAGTATTGTCCAAAAGCGACACATAAATCAACCATGATGCAGAATTGAATTGGACCTAACAGAATCAATCTAATTGATAAGTGTAACATAGAATAAGGAAATTGGCCAACGTATGGCCAATCCTTGGTTTACGGCCAGCTGTGGAACAGAGTTTCTAATCTGGTCTACAAGCGAGGCTAGGCATTTTGGCGTTACAATGCCTGGCATTAGAGTAGACCACAACAAATCCCTATCCCGGGTCAGTGGTGCTGGTGCATACCTTGCGGCGTTGATCAGCTCATTGGCCAGGACTCGGCAATGGTCTGATGTTCCTGAAGGCAGCCTCACGAGCTCCTGTGCACAGCAGCCATAGCCTATGGAAAAGAAAAGGAGAACAGTTTCAGTGAGCTTTGGGCGAAACCTTATAATGTATATGTCTTCAGGATACGCCAAATGTCGGGCCACAATCATATTGTGACGATGCAATAAGTCAGTAGTCGCCAACGAACCACAAGCCATTGCTGCTGGCTGCATGACAGAGGAGAGGAGGTGGTACTTGCCTGGTTGACGCGACGCAGAGGCGACACATCCACAGCCTGGCGACGCACGGTACCGGCACGTCCATACGGTAAGTCTCCACGGGGTCCCGAATTGGAATGGCGATAAGATCTGTAAAGGCACAAGACCAAAACTTGAATTAATAAAATGCTCTCTAAAGTGTCGTTGCCATTAAAATAGTTGGGAAGAAAAATGTTAAGTTACTGATCTTCAGGTACTAGGAGATTAAAACATTTTCCTTCACATGAGTCCATTCTGATTAGATGCTCAGCTGAATGGGTTTTCCTTCAGCTGGCATTGAGGTGGACTGACAAAAGATTCGTGTAAGTCGAAAGTATGGCTTAGGTGTTGATTTTTAAACTTTATTAAGGTTCGCATCTTTAAGCCAATGCCCTTTAGAAAAATAATCATGGGCTTTTGGTTTGGTCCAATGAATCACAACAACGTGAAGTATCATCGCTGCAGTTTTAGTTTTGGACGGAGGACAAAACCATTTTATTTGAGGATCTATTGATGGGTTTACAAATGTTGTTTTAAGTAATCCAAGAGAGCAAGAAGAGGTTACTGATCTTGGGACTTAGGATATTAAACCGTTTCCTTCAATGAGTCTATTATGATAAGATGCTCAGCTGGGATGGTTTTTCCTCCGACTGGCATTGAGTAGACTGCCTAAAATTGCAAGAATGTTTCAAAGATGTGGTTTTAAGTTCCAAGAGAGCAGGAAGAGGTTATATCTTCAGGCACTAGGATATTAAAACCATTTCCTTTGAGTCCATTTTTGATTAGATGCTCAGCTGGGATGGGTTTTCCTTCATCTGGCATTGAGGTGGACTGACAAACGATTCGTGTAAGTCGATAGTATGGCTTAGGTGTTGATTTTAAACTTTATTAAGGTTCGTATCTTTAAGCCAATGCCCTTAAGAGGAATAGTAAATCATGGGCTTTGGTTTGGTCCAATTGAATACCACAACGACGTGAAGTATCATCGCTACAGTTTTAGTTTTGGATGGAGATAAACCATTTTACTTGAGGATCTATTGACGTGTTTAAAAATGTTGTTTTAAGTTCCAAGAGAGCAAGAAGAGGTTACTGATCTTCGGGCACTAGGATATTAAAACATTTTCCTTCAATATGAGTCCATTATGATAAGATGCTCAGCTGGGATGGGTTTTCCTTCAACTGGCATTGAGGTGGACTGAATGTGATTTTCGCTAGCTCGGAAAAGTGTAGTTTTAAGTTCCAAGAGAGCAAGAAGAGGGGCTATATCTTTGGGCACTAGGATATTAAAACTCTACTTCAATATAAGTTCATTAAATATATATACGCTTCGGCAGTCTGGCAATGACTGTCTAGCGTTGAGGAAGACTAAAGGCACACTCCAAAGTAGTTGTAGTTTTAAGTTCCAAGAGAGTAAGAAGAGGGAATATTTATCTTCAAGCACTAGGATATTAAAACTTTTTGTGGGTTACTCTGCGTACTCATTCTACCCATGTTCAGGTGGGTAGTCGCTGAACACAGTTTAGCATGAAACGCTGCCAAGGGGGAAGGGGGGAAGAATGAAGAATCTAAAAGTCGATCAATTACCTGAGGGGGTTCTCGCCAGTCAGCAGATGAATGATCTCGAACGAGTGCTTGACAAATGCGGCAGGCCATCAGCTTCTTGCCGTTATTGCGGCCCTTCATCATCAGGGAGCAGGTCAGGCGCTCCACAAATGGGGCACTGGGCCTTGCGGAAACGCTTGGCGGCATAGCGGCCAGCCGAGGGGGAAGGTAGCGTGCAAACTTCTCCTTGACCGAGATGTAATCCTGCAGCGAGATGTCGTTGACAGTCACATCGTTGCACGACCAGCGTCTGAAGAGCTTGATCTCCGGCAGCTCAGTGGTGGCTACCACATTTGTTTCCAGAATGGTCTCGGCCGCCTCAGCTTCCACAGGTGCCGCCGGCTCCTCGAAGGATTCCACCACGTTTTCAGCAACTTCGGCCATGCTGCAAAGAGAGCTAAATGTTAGCCCGATGGTTCTGCATAGGATGCCAATGACTAACACACACACACGCGCGCTCATTTGATGCTGCTGTTGTTGTTGATTTTTGACTTTATTAAGGTAAATATCTTCAAGGCGATATCCTCAAGAGGAATAGTTAACCATGGATGTTATTTTAGTCCAATTGAATACCACAGCGACTTCAAAATCATCGCTATAGTTTTAGTTTTTAGACGTGTGCAGCAACCAATAAAAAAAAAACCAACACGTGTGACGCACACACATACACACACACAAACAAAAAGCCGCCCGTATTTAACCTCATTTGTCGAACAATGCAGTTTTGACATGTTGAAAATTTAATTCACAAAACCCTCCATGTTCACAGTTAGCTATCACGTTTAGTGTTCCTTTGATTATAATTTACTTTATACGCAGAGTTTTTTCAACAAAATTTCTTACTTTTTCACAGAAGAAATCGAGATACGATGTCAGCGCAAAGGCAAACGCCTGAAAAAGAACATGTTACGGCAGTGTGCGGCAATGCCAGCAAAAATCATTTCCGCCATTGCCTACATGGTTGTATTTTACGACCAGGGCTGCATACAATACCGTGTATCGATAGGTATTCTAGAAGCGGATTAAGCGATAGTTAGCTTGTTGTTGCGTATTTCAATTGGTTTTGGCTATAGTTATCAATCAATTTTAATTTCTAATATGTTTCATTGCAAGATGAATGTGAAATCACATGGTATGTGCTCATTTTACCATTCAGTATTAAATACATATATCGATAGTTTGCCTTGATAGTTGCCAGTCACCGGATAGGTATATTTTTCACTTATAGTGTTATGACATTAGACTTAGCCAAGAGAAGAGAGGGATGGCATGAAAAACAAAATGCAACATTATTGTTCGTAGCCACTCTAACCACAGGCCGGCATCGTCGTATGCACTGTGCATAGGAAAAAATTTGAGGCAGCGCAGTCGGCACACGTACAGCGTAAAGACTTCGTGTGGTTTCGTTATTCTGCGCTGCTGACGTAGCGGCAGAGAAAATTCTGCCTCACTGACACAAAATTATGTTTTCCAGCAAAACACATCCATCAAATCAGAAAAATTGTATCCGCTAAGTAAAACAATCGACTAGTTCTGCCGCAGCGCTGCTCACAGCTCAACTGGACAGCCAACTTGACTCATATACTTCTCTCGCTCTGTCTGCGGGCATTTCCCATTAGACCATCTCTATTTTTCCAGCTAGTCAAGTCAGCTATAAAGCTTAATGTCATAGGACTAATACACATTTAGTTGCCACTCACATTGAATAGAGCAAATATTCGATAGTACCGAAAAGTGTCATCATTAATAGGCAGCTGCAACAACAACATGTTTGTTGTTCAAATCCACCGCAAATATTGTATTTCCCCAAGTTAATAAGATATTATATTGCCATTGCCAGCGGATTGGAAAAATGACAACCGACGAGACCATTATGGAGGAAATGCTGGGTAATTGAAAATGCAAAACTGTTCAACTCGCGCTTCCCCGCATAAATCTACCATAAATCTCTTTCGACCTCCTTTTCAAACAACAGATCGAGCAACAAATCCGGCTAGGGAAAGGGCCGACGAGCTGGGCGTGCAAATGTTCTGCATTGTGGTACGCAGTCACGTTCAGCTGGTGCACAAGGCTCAGGAGATGATTGTGGCCAAAGTGCGGTCAGCAAAATGAACCGAAGCAACGCGAGCCATTTCGGTGAGTCGAGTGGGTGGTTAAGGGGCTGTGGGATGTGGCCTGTGGCTGTGTGAAAAATTGCCTAGACAAAAGCCCCCACACACACACACACACATAGAGTGGGGCCTATAAAGTTCGCAAATACATACACTTGCATGTATGTACACGCACAAACACATGTGCATGCACTTGTGTGGCTGCGCTCGGTTTGAAATTGCTATCAACTTTAGTACATGTGTATGTGTATCACAATGTATTGCCAGGGCGGGACAGAGACAGTGACAGGGACAGGCAACCAAACAAGATTGTTGGCCAAAGTAACAGTAGATATGTACAAACAATTTGCAGCTGCTGGAGGAATGCATGACTCAGTGCGGCGAAGAGTTCCAGGACGAGGCGGGGAAGTTTCGCTTCCTCAACGAATTAACCCGTCTGGTGTCTAAAAAGTACAAGGGAGCCGAAACGCCGCACGAGGTTAAGCAGCGGATTATGGAGTGCCTGCTGCTGTGGACCACAGAGTTTCCGCAGCGTCAGAAAATTCGCGATGCCTACGACATGCTGCGTAAGGAGGGTGATATCGAGCATGGACAGACAGAGGCGGCGGTGGCCAAGCGGGAGAGTGTGCTGGGGACCATCGACGAAGCCATGTTCGCCAAACTGATCAAGAGCAACAATCAAGAGAACTTCAAGCGTGCGAATCTTCTGCTGCAGTATCGCATGGCACAGGAGGCGCGACGCAACGATCTGCTGTCCCAGCATCGACTAAGCCTCTACGAGGTCCTCGAGACCATGCAGCTGCTCAACCAAATGCTGGACACCTACGATCCCTCCAACAAGGATGTTAGCGAGACTATTAACGACCTCTACAATATCTGCAAGAAGCACAAGCCGATCTTCCAGCATATGACACAGCTGCTAGACGACTCCGATGCTCAGCTCATGGTAAGTTTCCGCAGTCTTGATAGATCTGTCTCTCAATCTGTTTCTCCCTTTGCAGCTGAAAACATTGGATGCCAATGGGGCGCTCCCTGACGACAATGCAACGCTATAAGCAGCTGGTTCCCTCTCCAACAAAGACCACTGCCCCTGCTTCTGCTCCTGCCGAGACCACGACAACATCAAAAGCAGCTAAAACAACAGGAACAAGTTCCAACAACGAATTGCTAATCAACGAACTGCTGGGGGATCTCCTCATCGGTAGTAGTGAAAACGGAGCAGATTCAGAAGCTTCATCTGGAGAAAAACCAAACGCTTTCACGAGTAATTCCAGTTGCACGGCTCCTGCTACAGCCACAGCCGATCCCCTGGCTGATCTGAGTGACATCTTCAGCAGCGCACTGGCTGAAAGCGAGTCAAAACAATCGACTGAAAAATCATTCCAACACACCAGTTCAGGTAGCGGCGGCTTGCTGGAGCCTGAGGTGCTTAGTCAGAGCACGGCCACCGATGGCCTGGCCAATGGCTCCAGTTCCGATTCCTCAAGAAAGCCAGGATCGGCCCGGAAAATGCCACAAATTGATATGCTGAGCGAGGAACTCTTCCAGAAGATATTGCCCAGTCAAGAGAGGATGAGCAGCTTCAAACGGGATCCAGAGAAGGTAACCCTAAACGACATGGCCAAAGAAAGGATGCAGGTAAAGGCACCCAAGGTTGCACATACACCGGCACAGGCACAACCAGTAGCAGCTGCAGAAGTGCTCACTATAGCAGAGCTCGTTGATGATGTTCCTTTGCTAAGCAATGCTCCCGTTACCCTTGAGCAGGAGCCGCAGATGGAAGTACTGCCCACGCAAAAACATCTTAGCGAGATCAGCATCGAATTAGACAATATCCAGGCCACTGGTGAGCAGCGTGTGGTGCTCGACGACGATGACATGCAGCTCAGTTTAAACTTTACCAGCGATCGGCCAGGCTATCGTGTCTCGGTGATTGTGATATCGGCACAGAACAAGAGCCGCCAGCCAGTCTGTGACTTTCATTTCGAGGCGAGTGTCAAAAAGGTGAGAAAGCTGCAGGAAATTCAATAGCCAATAAACCCTGACTCCACAAACATTTATTTCCAGCCATGCAAGGTGCGTCTCACTGCCGCCCCACAGAGAGCGCGATGCCACCTCACAAGCCATTTCGTCCAGCCACGCCTATCAATCAGGTGATGCTGCTACTCAATCCCACCGGCAAGGCCGTGGATGTGACGTGCATCGTGGGGTATAAGCTGGGCGACGATCCCGATCCTATCAAAGAGTCAATTGTCGCCCAAGGCATTGCCTACGTGGACTAAAACTTAAGCAAATACAAAAAAGGCAACCCCCTCCCTCCCAAATGGCTATTGCTTTCCCTTTCCCACTCTTTCTCCCCGACTCTGTTGTTTCTGCGTCTCTGTGGCGGTGTTCCGTTCCCTCTTATTTGTCGGTTTCTATATGTATTTGTATATTTATTAGGATTTTATTCAAAATTACATTTCACATAAACGATTTAGTTTAGTCCGTATTACAATACAATATAATGATATACATATATCAAAGGCTTATATAAATTATGTATGAAAAAGTCGCTACAAAAGCCAAGCGCTCATTTCCAGAGGTAGTTTCAAAATTAGTTTTTCTTTCTTTCTCATTTTAGTTTTGTTTTTCTTTTGCTGAACTATCGTTGAATTGCGATTGGGGGTATGTCCCCCGATTCGATTGGGATGATGGTTGGTTCAGTTCAGTTCTAGTTGATGATGGGAATCGCTGTGTTCTAATCTACGTTAACTGCCTCCAAAAATTGCCAAATTATTTGCCAGAGCCTAAGAGTTGCCTTCAATATGATATGCCTGCCCATTGCCGATTGTCTCGCTTTGTGGTTGCGGAAATTTGGATTTGGTTTAATTATATTCTGTATTATTGTGATGGTTCAAATTCCGTATCAAAGAACTTTGGAAATATTTTGGAAATTACTCAATTCAGAAGCATTCTCAGACTTACTTAGATCGTTTGAAGAACATTTGATTTCAGTACACAATTTACCTTAAAAACTAGGCCCTAGGTCGAGAGTAAGAGGACCTACAAATCAAAGAAGGACTGGGATATATAGTAGATGCTCCAGATTATCGTTTACCAGAACTTAAATGCAATATCTGTATGAATATATTAAAGAAAGAGTAGGTAGTATATTCCCAACAAGACCACAGCAGAGAACCTTTTTGGTGGGGAGGTGGAGGAAAAGGAGACAATCAAAATGGGAAGGCTCTTCTTTTCTTACCTGTGACGCAGTCACAATCGCACTTACGTTCTATATCGATGATGCTAGCAGCTAATGATTAACCTTTCTTATAATCTCATCCTTGAAGGACAGGGCAGTGATAGCCTTGGTGTGGCCGGTGTATTCCCTGGTGGGAGTCTTTGTCTCCAGCTTCCACAGACGAGCCACCCCGTCCGAGGACGCGGTGAAGAGCCATTTGGAGTCTGCACTGAAGGCGGCATCCCACACCCAGTAGTTCTCAATGCAAAGCTCGCGCCACTTGCTGAAGTCCGAGGTCTTCCAGAGACACGCCGTCCCATCGCCGGAGGTGGTCAGCAGAAGGCGCGAGTCGGGGCTGAACTTGCAGCGCAGTATGTAGCGGCTATGCGCCGGTATCTTCTTTGTGGGCCGCATTGTGCTCATCTTCTGGTCGGGGCTGCTGCACAGCGACCAGATGTAGCAGTTGCCCTTGTTGTTGGCCGCCGCCAGGTAATGTCCGTCGGGGGAGATGGCCACGTCCTGAATGGATGCATCCACCTCGGGAACGATGCATTCGTGCTTCTCCGACTTGACATCCCACAGGAAGACGTTGCCGTTCTGTGAGCCCATGCCGATCTCCACCTGGTTGGGGTGCAAACATGCGGCATTCACTGGTGACTCGCAGTCGAATACCCGCGAGCAGTGGGGAGGTGCCGAGACCATGTCCCAGATTCGCACATGATGGTCCTCGCCTGCGGTGAACATCCAGTTACCGTCTTCCTGGAAGCCCAGGCGCGTCACATTTTTCTGTACGCCATCAAAGTTTATCACCGGAGCGGTGCAATTGGATTCCAGGTCGTACAGACGGATGCACTGATAGCCACAGGCCGCCAGGCGCGTTTTGTCTGGCGTGCGGTCTAGGGCATTTACTTGCTACAGGTTAAATATTGAATCGCAGTCGCAGTGCAGCGGTATATTATATGCATTGTGGTTCACTCACGGAAGTCTCAACAAAACGCATGGTCTTGATGCAGTTGCCGGTATGGGCTTGCCACACCTTGATTGTGTGATCGTATCCACCGGTGGCCAGTATCAGTTGGTCCCCCATTGCTTCCATTAATCGTCAATTAGGCGATTTTTAATTATTTTGTTATCATTTGATGTCCGGCAGTGTGACCGAGGATGTATCGATACAATATACCGTCTGACCCTCAGAAATATACCGAAATTTATAGCCTATTTACACTGACATGAGTTACCTATCGACTGTTGAGTTAACTCAATAACTCAGAATTGGCGTCTACACTGGCACAAACTCGAGTTATTGAGTTATGAGTTTTGGCAACAGCACGTTTTACGTGTTTTTAAAAATCTCGCTTCTAATGATAAAATTGGCTAAAAGTATTATTTTTAATTAATATATGCGAATTTAAATTTTTCTTTTATTTTTCTATGTAAACAGCTTGTTTTTTTTTGTTTTTTCTAGTGGCGATAGTTCACACGATAGGCGAACAGGGTTGAAATTATCGGAATATCGAACAAACGCAACTGAAACGCAACCTGGTTGCGACCACAAATGTAGTCGAGCCCAAAAGGGAATTATAGGCCGTTTACACTGGGGCTGCGTCATGCTTCTTTGCGTCTTGGCGAAGACGCAGTTTTTTTTACATAGGTTAAGCATAGGGCCCTAGTGGTGGCAAAAAGTTGCGTCAGTGTCTGATTCATGTGCGTCTATTCGGTATATTCGATTGATTTTGCTCATTTTTGGTATTTTCTGCCTATCAGCGCAACTATCACCACTAATAACAACAAAAAATTGTAGATCAAAAATCAAATTTTGGCGCTAAAAATGTATGATTGTGCAAAAAGGTGAAAATATACATAAAGTCATTAAATAAAATACTTGAAACTGATTGTATTATTATCATATGAAATTTTTCTGACCCCCTGATGCCATTAAGACACTGCTGGAGACGAACTTCGGTGGTTTTCATAATTTGAAGAAGAACTCCCACAAACTCTACAATGAAATGTCTGAAAATAATATTTAAATATGAGAATCAATTCTTTTTCGTCCATTTTCCTGACGTCTTGCTTAATTCTGTTGATTTTCAAAAATTTGTGTATCTTTCCTTGTCATCAAACACCCAAATCCAAATTCAAGACGCACGTCTTCCAATGTAAACGCCTTTTCTGCTTCATTGCGTCTATGCCGATATCGATAGCAGACGCGCCCAGTGTAAAAAGGCTATTAGAAGATCACGCGATGAGAGGCTCCAATACAAAGACGGTGCACATCAATGTATTTGCGTGCACCTGCGCGTTTTGGCTACACGTGTGAGAACGTTAAAGTTAAGTTTTTGAACATAAGCAATAAGAACAGCGGGCGAAACAATAACGAGCATATGATTAGGGTAACTATTATATGAATGATATTGACCTAAACTAATGCCCTTTGCACACTGAGCCCATCCCGGGGGAATGGTGGGAATTTTTCAAAGATGTGAAACACCGATTCACATTGACTCCATCCACCATCCATGAGAAAAGAGCTGATACTCACAATTGCGTGCGGTGAAAAATTTGTTCACATCTATAATTTAAATGAATATAAATAACATTGCAATGGTTGTGAATGTGATTCAGCAGCAAAACATATTCTTGCACACGCTGGACATGGATGATGATAATGCGGCTAACATTGACGAGGAGAATTTATTGGAGTGGATATCTGTTTTGATAAAGCCTAGTACTCAGATCGAAAAAAACACCTAGCGAACAGAATCAGGGTTGATATTCGTATGAAACCGATAAGAAATGTTTTACGGCAAAAACTGTTTTCTAGGCTCTGTACGGAAGGTAGTACCACTAACCATACAGTATATAGATGTGCCAGTTCATACAACGAAAGGGGCGCAGCTGAGGTTTCTGTCCCAGCACCCCCAGGTCTTCGGCTAGGGTGCTGGGACCATTCGGCTGTGGTGCTGAGACGTTCGGGTCGTGGGCCTGAGATGTTCGGCATTTTTTCGACATGTTCGATTCATGACGAGATGCGAAAGCAAGCCGAGAATTGCAAGTGTGTGTGTGTACGCAGGCACGACCAAATATTTATGAATTCTTATTTTCCGAAACCGTTTTGAGTTTGTTCTGAGTTTCGTTTCCAGGTTGCGTAAATGTGTGTGTGTTATCTATTCACACATACTGTGCTTGTGTGTGGGCTCTACAATTTTTTGCCGCTTGAATTGGTTTTTCGTTTTGTTTTGAGGGCTGATGTAGCAACCTGAGCTGGCCTGCCGCAACATAACTGAGGAATGGGCAGAGTGGGTGGGGGTGGGAAATAAATACAATATATAAAAATAAATTATGTTATCGCTGCTCATATCTCCTAAACTAAAATTATCTTGAAAATTAGATTCGCTAAAGCTCTGGAAAATTTTCTACTTGATGTGTACATTTATTTTATTCAAAGCGTTCATAAAATATATTTTTTAATTTTGCCACCTCTTTTCGGCTGAGTCCCCTGTAAATACAAGCAATACAAACAAATAAAAGCTTTAAAACCAAACTCGACCTATTCAGGGCCGGATCAACCCTCAACCGGGCCCTGGGCAACCATCAATCTGGGGGCCCTCCTGTATTTTGTATTTTTCTCAGTGGCTATTATATTTTTTATTTATTATTTGGAGTTTTGTTTTTTTCAACAAAATTTTTCTGTTATCCCTACTGCTAATCCGGCCCTGGACCTATTCCCGTCGTCAGACCTCATATTTTGTTGGTGTATTCTGTCACTCGAGTGACAGTGTCGATCGACTCGACACGGGCCGAGGTATTTACGAAGGCCAAAAATTGTAGAGCCCACACACAAGCACAGTATGTGTGAATAGATAACACACACACATTTACGCAACCTGGAAACGAAACTCAAAACAAACTCAAAACGGTTTCGGAAAATAAGAATTCATAAATATTTTTACGTGTCTGTGTACACACAACACTTGCAATTCTCGGCTTGCTTTCGCATCTCGTCATGAATCGAACATGTCGAAAAAATGCCGAACGTCTCAGGCCCACGGGCCGAACGTCTCAGCACCACAGCCGAATGGTCCCAGCACCCTAGCCGAAGACCTGGGGGTGCTGGGACAGAAACCTCAGCTGCGCCCCTTTCGTTGTATGAACTGGCACATCTATATACTATATGGTTAGTGATTGGTGTACACATCTTGAAAATTGCTGGCAGTCTAAAAATATATATAGCCATGTTTGGTTTATTGTAGTCTGATTATGTCGAATAAGAAAAATTAATGGAAATACTATGAATCAATAAAAAAATGTATTCACAAAATTTGACATTTGTGCAATTTCTATTTTATTTTAGAAAGTGACTGCTCTGCTCTTATCGATGGTGCGATGTATTGCACAAAGGTTATATCGATATTTTCGTTAGGAACCGAAGGGTGAGGGGGCCGTTAAATTTAAAATGAGTCAAATGAAAACTTGCACTTCCTTTTAGGATTCACAGTTTGTGCTGTGTACCAGCATACCGAAAGCCTAACACATGCAAACAATCCGATCCGAATGCGATCCGTCCAGCGAAAACCGATTTTGTCTCTTTTCTGATTGGTGTTACCGCCATTTTGTTATGATTTTGTTGCTTTTCTTCGAGTTTGCACTGTTTCGTTAATCGTATTTGTGTTTTTGTTTGGGAGTATTGGTGAGTGCTCTGCCGTGAGCTGATTTTGGGCATCCCTGGTCTACACACTACAAAATCGAAGCGCTACGAAATAAATTTAAAATAAATTTGACTTAAATAAATTAAAAAGATTTAGTCAAATTCACGGAATTCACGGAAGATTTAAAAGGGAAACTCAGCATGCTCGACAACATTCGCAAAATGACGACTCCTTTCTATATACACTTCGATGAGCTTCATTTTCTCAAAATCAATGCATGTATTCTGATATTCCATATTCTATATTGAGTAATAATTAAATTTTTCCTTTAGAAAATTATATGGAAAATGTAGGTCGTTGCCGCTCAAACCGCTGATGGAGAGTTATTTGTTTTTCTTTAAATGAGACTGGTACGTTGTCAACCAAATCGAATCATATTCATATTTAGTTTATATTTATTATAGCAGCGTTGCTCGAAAACCCAAAACAATGTGGCAAAAATCGAGTTGAATGTTATGAAAGTGCTGAAAGAAATCGAGGTAAAAGGAAAACAACACCTAATGGCCGTAATTTCGGATGCGACTCTCAGCAATGAGAAAGCGATGGCCGCCTCTAATTTCTGGCACCCAGTACTCTGGGACTATAGGCATTTTGAAGACCACATTAGGGCCGGTCATGACCATATGGAGCAGCTTTTATATAAAGTATACTCAAAAGTGTACTTAAAGAATTCCTGGGAGGAATTCGATGTAAAGGAGATGGTCAAAAATGTACCGGAAAACGTACAATCCACGTACATAGTTGAGCTGCAACAAATCAACAGGTTGCTCCGCCGGATTTTAAAGCATGCCAGCTACGTAACAATAGCAAATAGCAACAACCGATTGAAGGCTTGGGGGCATCTTCTTCAAGACCGGCTTAGGTCAATTTTTAGTTTGATTGCAGAGGAAGAGCATGTCCAGGTGGGCCTAGGCCTGGAACTAGATGAAAGCGAACGGGAAATCGGGAACCGGAACCATCATATTTAAATGCCAATTTTATCCAAGTTATATGCTACTTTAATTAAAATAGAGTAAAAATAAGTTTAATTAAAATTACTTTGAGATATAAAAATAGAATTTTGGTCTTGCTAATTGCTAATCAACAGTAACAGTACGTTCAGTAATTGTACTGTATTGTCTGTGATAATTGTTACAATAAACCTACACAATAAAAACTGAAGAAAAAACAAATTGACCGAATCCACAACGTCTACACTCTACAAAATTGAAGCGGTACGAAATAAATTTAAAATCAGAAAAAAAAACAGGTTTACAGGGTTTACTGATTTATGGAAGGTATTGGCGTTGGCGACGGTGGGGATAGACGGTGATAAATTTAGAAGTGAGCACTGGAGAAATTTTGGGGACGACTGAGATTCAATTCGACATCCAAGGAAGAGGAGCCTGCGAGTGAAACGGACGAGGAAGAGGAGCAGGAGCCGGCGAGTGAAACAGACGAGGAAGAGGATTTCGGTTCGACGACGAATCATGCATTGACCATG